CCTTAAATGTAAGAATGAGGATCTTGTAAATGATGCGATATTTAATGGGAAGCCAATGTTGTTGCTGCAGGACTGGTGTTATACGACAAATTGAAGGAGTTCTGGTGATAATCCGAGCAGCGGAGTTTTGAACAACTTGTAGTTTATGGAGGAGTTTGTCTGGTAARCCAAAGRGAAGTGAATTAGRGTAATYCAGGCGAGATGTGACATAAACCAAAATGGCTGTATYGTTGGGTGTAAGAGATGGACGCAGGCGAGAAATGTTACGTAGGTGGAAACAAGCTGACCGAGTGACATTATTGACATGAGAGTGAAAAGATAAGGTACTGTCAAGGATGACACCCAGACTCTTTACCTGGGGTGACGGAGAAACTTGTGAACTGTCAATGTAAAGTGAAAAATCATTCATCTTGGAGAGGATGGATTTGGTGCCAACAAGTAAAATTTCAGTTTTATCACTATTAAGTTTTATGAAGTTGTTGGAGAACCAGGACCTGATTTCCTGAAGGCAGTTAGAGAGGCAGGTAGGAGGAAGAGATAAGTTTGGTTTTGAGGAAAGGTAGAGCTGGGTGTCATCTGCATAGCAGTGGAACTGTATATTGTGTTTACGAAATGTGTAGCCGAGAGGGAGAATGTAGATGATAAATAGGAGGGGTCCAASGACAGATCCTTGGGGTACACCAGAGGAAAGGGAGGTTGGTTCAGAAGAGAATGTTTTGAGTTGAATGAACTGAGTGCGACCAGAGAGATAAGATTTAAACCAATTCAGTGATGTGTCAGAAATTCCCAGAGGTGCTAGTCTGTCAATGAGGATGGTGTGGGAAACAGTATCAAATGCTGCACTCAGATCAAGAAGGATAAGAATACAACAGTATTATTGAAAATTGTCAACCTAAATGAGATATTTAACCTTTAATTTACTCTGCCTACAATTAGAGCAAGTATTATTTCATCATGGATTATTAAATTTAAAGGTTGTACTTGAATGTACACTGCATTAAGACAAGTGTTTACATGGGCTGTCACTGGGGTTGGGCAAAATCTTATTGTGTGCAATTAGTCGTCAGAAAAACTGTTAACAATTTTTGCAATTACTGCAATTAGTGCCACTTGATGACATATTTTTATGTGAGATGCATTGACGGAYGGATGGATGGTAAACACCATTTTTCAGTTTCTTTAATTTTCTAAAATATTTAAAACTTTTCCCCCAACTGTTTCTCAACATTCATCTGGAGTGTTTTGTGTAGATTTATAACTCTATATGAATTTGTAGAATTTCAATACAAAAAGAAAAAAAATTGTATAGGTCTTCTGGACGGGTTCTTCTCTAATAAAACGTGTCGTCTCTCCTCCAAGAGACTTCTTCAGTCTGAGAGTTTCAGGCTTTTAAGCCCTGCCTCCATGTGACTGATACTCACATCACATGGCTATCGTTGACACCTAATTAACACC